ATCATCAGGTATGACAAAACCTTGTCGAAACGTTGTACATTTGCTGTTATATTAAAGTTTTTCTTCATTACCCATTCAAGCCATCTCCAGCCATTATTAATACAAACTCAGCCTCATCTTCAGAAAAGCTACTTACCATCAGTATGACAAGGTGCAAATTATGTTTAATCATTAGTGTAATATAATATTAATTAGGGAGTGTTTAGGATAACCATATTAAGTGTAGTTTGCATTTTTGTGAAATTCCTTCAAAATAACTAATTTTCTACAATAGTTACTTTTCAACTCTATAAAAATGGAGCTTTTGGAAAAGAATTGGTTAATTCCTCAGTCACCATTGTCTTTCTAATTCTTGCTCGAGACCTGTCAATAAAAACCATATTAAAAAAAGCATTTTCCCTATAACTTGTACAATTACAGCATTGGTTATTTGGATTCTAAATATCCTATTTATAGTTACAGAAAAATGATATACTAGAAGTTTAACCTGGAAGACCAGAAGTCAAAATTCCAAATCCTCAGAAAGAAATTTATCAAACCAGAGAGCACAATGGAAGCAGTTTCCATGACATGACTGTGTGAGAATCACATTAGCTTGATCCAATAACAAGAGAACAATATGTGGAAGATTAAATGGAAACTTCAGAATAGACCATATATGCCTACAAAGCCAGAGTTTTATCTCTGAAGACAATTACAGACAAAGACTTCAAGTTGTCTATCAACTTATTCAACAGCGAAGAGTTTGATTATCTATGCAGTTATTTAGAAGCAAGGGCTGGAAAAATATTAAGGTTCTGGCAAGGCTTGGCAACTTTTAGCTGTTAATATTATGTAGACAAGGGACACAAAACAAGTCACAATGAAAACTTTCTTTTTCAGATGTGTTAATCCTCATTCTAGTGAAATTAAAAATTAAGTTTCACAGTACTGAGTTAGAAATTATTTTGGGAATGTCAAACAGAGTTATAGGCCATACTTTTATAATTAAAAAAACTTCAGTTTCATATGTGTTAATCTTGTTTGTTTAAGATGCCTGAAAGCCAGGGAGATGAAGGATTTGGAGAGTGCTTCATGCAATATGTTCCAGAGCTCAAGGTTAGTTTTAGACTGTATCAAAATGCAGGCAAAGAAGTCCTCAAATTTCCATATTTTTAACTCATAAAGGAAGAAACGATATCAAAGTCATTGTAAAGTTTTCACCTTATCTCTCTGTACAAGTTTAGATATTGGTGCTAAACTAAGAAAAACTTGGTGCTACATTCATCCTTCCAGACTTCAAGGGTCATGGGCTATCAAAGTTATTTGGCAGGAATTGGCACAATCAAAGGCTATTGTCAAAGCTCAAGAATGTATACAATGAATTAAACAAAATATTACAACATTTCACATTAGTGGTTGTGTCACTAAATATGACAAACATATATGGGCAGATATTTACGGTATGTACTTATCTTACAAATTTCCAGCTTCCTATCATCCAGTATAATTCAAGTTTTGTACATTTCATGCTAAAATGTTCTAACAGTGCTACTTTAGAAATTGGAGTGTCAAAAATTGACAAATTATATTAGATTATTATTAAAAATTTAGAGTAATTTTATTTTAATAATGTAAAATTAATTGAAATATTAAATATAACATTAATGTAATTTGTAGTTATAAAGTTATGAAACTAATGTATCAGGGTAGATTAATAAATAGTTTGAAAATATATATTACAAGCACAAGTATGAAACCAGTTGCTATTGATTGAAAGAAAAATGCACAATTCACATTCTTTATGTATTTTGACACCAAAGTTTTCTATGAACCTTTGGAAACAAACAAAGTCAAATACATATATTAAAAGATCTTCACAATGAGGTTCCAGACTTTTCAAAATTATAGGTATTTATTTTCAATTCCACAATACACCTCATACACATGATACCTTATAAATAAATTAATTCTCCTATATATTTGATCATATCTAATCAATCCATTAAAAGCCATTAATATCCTCACTAGTTGATAAAAACATAAAATAAAGGATATTCTGTATCCATGGTAACTGTATTCTTATCAATAATGTAGTTAGCTCAAATTATCAAAACCCTTTATCAAACAAAAGACAGCATAACAGTGGTCAAAAAGCATAGAAATGCAGTGCTTTGATTAACAGCTCTACATTACTTTCAATTTTAATGCCATAATTCACTGTTTTGTTCCTTTGGGATGATCCATGATTTTTTTCCAAAAGAAAATAACCACAATCAATTAATGTAGCATTATGTGACCCCATGTTGTATTGGCAGCTGAAAAACTGGGCATGTTGCCCTGTCAAATAAGGTGGATAAGATGTATTATCACTGTTTACCAACAATATATGGATGTGAACCTGAATATAACACAATATATATGAAACCTATCAACCATCTCCTCACAACTACCTACCCCTACAACTCAAATATCATGTACATCAGAGGTCTACTATTTTACACCTGTATCATATTCTTACTAATAGTATTGTTGTCGTCATCGA